TTTGATTGCCTTGTGTTTACTTTTGCCTGTTTTAAATTTGCTTTTGCTTCGTATATATGCATGTTCTGGCTTTCGTCTTTTCACCTTACTTTTTCTTCTATTCTTTGCATAAGTGATAAGTTGGATAACAGAGCGTAGATTCTTCCCTTTCTTTCTTCGCAGCCGTCTCCTGAAGCGGGAACCCACTCTACCTCGAGCGACTGATTTGGAGCGTCTCAGTTTTTGGTTCTCCAACTCCTGCAGCAGGGGCCAACAATGCGGATGCTGGACTGGCCTAGTTCTGTACATCACAGACCCGAGTCTCAGACGAGTTCTGTAGGCGATGGCGTCGTCCACCCGCTTTGACTTCTTGGGTCTTCTCCTCGGCATCTTTGCCTCAACCGCACCTGTAGTTGTTGAAGAGATATAATCAGGACTGAGTTTATAACAGGGGAAAGCAGACAAAGAACCAATAATAAATTACAACTGAGCAGCAAATATTGTGGTTTGCCTACTTACAGAGAATACCATGTGATGCCATACCGAACATGGCATATACGAAGGAGAAGAATTTAGGGACGAAGATATACGAATAAATGATCAAGGGACTATGCTCGAGTAGGGGAAAAAAATCTAGAACCAAAAACTTTGTATCGTAAGATACATGATGCAATAAAAGAGGAGGTGTAAAAGGGAGGAGAAGAGGGAAAAAGAAAAAGAAGAAGAAAGAAGAAGAAGAAAGAAGAAGAAGAACAAAGGGAGGAAGAGAACAACAACAATAAAAGCAATAGCAGCACCAACAATAAGCTATCTATTTCACTAATGTGTTTATACTTAGCTTTGTGGTCTTCTGTCATGTATTGCACTTATCTAGCACAATCATTCCTATTTAAAGAGTTTGCGATATAATTTACAAATATATCAACCAAAACATATTTTTGGGGGGTTTCGATTCGAATATACATTTACTATTTTTTTTTAAATTGAACTATTAATAATTATAGGGCCTGGGGCAGACCGAACATAAAATGGTCCTGGATCATCAAGCTGCACTGTCCTGGTCAATTAACATCAGCTTTTAGTAATTTATTTCATCAACCAGGCTTTAAGGTGCCAGAAAGGGAGGGATTTGGGGGGGGGGGGGAGGGGGTAAGAATCATGTCACTTTTTAAGCTAGGGCAAACAACTTGGTAATCATGCATACTGTCGTGAAATGATAGCCATTACGCATCGGTCTGTAAGGCTGATAACCTGTCTTACCTGTAATCTGCACAAAATTCAAACTTGGACTCGCCCGGAAATATATAGTCCCTTATATCTATATATATAGGCCTTTATTGGACAACATTATTATGTCTGCCTTTTCTGGTTACTTTAACTAAACTCCACTTTTAAATGTATATCTCTTCGATATATATTCAGGGAGTTATTTGAGGTTCCTTGGAAACTGATTTACTCCTTGCCCAAGTATACAAGGGACTTCTTTTGTTACCAACGCCTGAAGTGTCTAAGTGACGCTATTCTCCTTGCCAGCTTCTCTAGCGTCCAGACGTGTTAATCTATGCCTGTATCATTTCATTTTTCAAGGCAATCTGGAATGTCTCAGTTTTTACATATGCTTGGGTAAGTTAATTATAGTTTACGAGTACCTAGAATGATGTCTGTAAAGTAGTCACTGCTGTAGAGAGATCGGTATCGGCTGTGTGATCCCTCTTAGTTAGACCGTTCTTGATCGCTAGAGAAGCGGATTCGAACGTAGACCTTCCCCTGTACAGATTAAATAGCTTATGCCCTCAATAAACCACCCATACTGGTAAAACTTAATACCCTTACAATTGTGTACGTTTTAAACTAACTAGAGAAGTTGTACATACCAAATGGGGCCAGAATTAGGTCGGGACTGTGTCGTCCATTGTATGAGTATGGTTGACCCAGATCAGTGGATGGTAAGACGGGCGGTTGGGAAAGCTAGTGAATGCAGGTACTGACAGTAAATATTGGTGTCTGTGTGCAGAGGGAGGGGAGAGAGAGAGTGATATATGTGTTAGAACACTCTATCTATCTCCACTATATATCTGACTTGCCTTCTCTTGCACTAAACAGACAGATAAATATAGGAGACTTATGTCTTTTGGTCTGGAGAGGCAATCTGAGGAATGAAACAGGAGAGCAGGGGGGAGTCAGCAGATGGGGGTTGATGACTGATGCTTGCTCTGTCTTTCCTGTCAAGATGTTACCCTCTTGGTGATGACTAATGTTGAGTTATTTTCTTGACAGGATGTATCTTTTGTGAAGAGCTGGCAGAAGATTCACAGTCCAACCAACACCCACCAACCATCAAACCACCAGAAACAAACTGTTACCCACCAGCTAACACCTGTGAAGGTTCCTGACATCTCCAACATGGGGGAGATGGTACCTCAAACAGCCTACCAGTGCTAGAGCTTAGGTTTGGCTCACAAACAATTTGTGTTCTACTTGGTGATAGAGACTTGCTAAGTACCAGTGCAGTATTGTGTCCTCTATGGTGAGGTACTCTCTGACTATTTGATCCAGTGGAGCAGAATTTCCAGAATCAAAGACAGTCGAATCATCCGGAGCTGAAGGAGGCATCATAGACAGAAAGGATAGAAGCTAAGTCTGATGCTTCGCATGATGTTGTTTTCCTCACAGCTCCTTGGTTCCAATGATGACATATAGTCACCTCCAGGACCGGCTGTCTACCTAGTTTCCTTAGGATCTAGACATTAGTGCTGAGATTCTTTCACTGATAGCTGGAATTCACTTCAATTGTTTTTGTACAGATATTATACTAAATACATGCATTCATTTTCATGGCTGACTTAGGTTTCTCTATGTCACCTTCTTAAGTGTTTAGCAGTTGTATGTGTATGTATCTTCATTATATGTGTTAACATGGTTATGATAATGAACTATCATAACCTGGGAGCTTTCTTTAGTAAGTAGTGGGGGTGTCCAGCCAAGTGTGCCTAAAAATATTGTATTTATATACTGATATATTTTGTAGTGCCAATACTTGAGTTGCCCTACTCCAGAGATAAGTTGAGCGTATATTGGCCACGGGGAATCCCTTAGACCAATACGAGCCAAACGACTCAACATAATTATCTCTGAGTGCTGTTGGTTTTGAAGGAGGAATCCTTACATTAGGCACGCGACAGGAGTGATATGTGACACATTCTAGGCATTGTATTCTCCCATTCACCCTTAATATGAACATGATTGATACAACCTGTAAATAGATCAGGGGTTAAACAACCATCTTTATCTTGTCCCATGATAATCAGCGAAGGTGACACTGCTCACCTACGTTGAGGAATTATTTATAATTTACTCAATATTAATTGTTGCCATAATCTTTGTTAACCCCTTGAACTGATAATATATGCAAAGCTGTATTTATAGACTCTTTCGTAATTGCTTTAGAAGGTGGAAAGGAATATTTTATGGAATTGCTTAAGAAGAATTAGAATCAGCAAACATTTAACTGAAATATGTAGGTGCTTATATACATACATCAAGTAAAAGTTGCATACGAACAAAAGCAGGTACATCGCACCTTTTGGGGTAAATTCAGGAGTAAGACAGGGACGTGTGCTATCTCCCCTGCTTTTTATAAGATACATCGACAATATATGCAAAGAAGCAGAGAGAGAGAGAGAGAGAGTAGAGAAGGATGATATCTCAGAATTGTTATTTGTAGATGACCAAGTATTAATAGCTGAAACAGAAGAGAGCTTACAGAACCATTTAAACTAAGTCAGTTAAAAGTGTGAGAAATGTAACATTAGGATAATCAGTGATAACACAGAGGCAATGGTGATAGACAAGAAGAAACCATATCAATTAAAGTAAATAACATCAATAAAACAAACGTGCGAATTTAAATATCTAGGGTAATTTTTCACCTCAAAAGGTAGAATGGATAAAGAAATCAAGACACGAAGTGTGAAATCAAATCAGGTTATGGGACAATTATCACCGCTTCTGACGCAGAGAAAAACACCGCTGTCAACCAAAGCAAATCTCACACGAACGTGTTTTTTTGTTTGGGGGGGGGGGGGGGGGGGGGGGGCACACTTGTGCTACCAGTGCCAAACATGGACCCTTACTACAACTAATTAGCGAAAGATCGTAACATCAGAAATAAGATGTCTTTGGAGAGCTGCCGGTGTGACAAGAAGAGATAAAATAAAAAATAAAGAAATTAGAAGAAGACTATGATCAGTCACACAATTAATTTAAGAACAACAAATGAGATGGTTTGGCCACGTGACAAAAATGCCCTGGTACCAATCGCTACAGAGAGCCATTCTGAAGAGATATATTGAACACGGATTAAGGGGAAAACCGGGCAAGAGATGGAGCGACATATCAGGAACAACCTAACAGAAATGAACACCAACTTGTACAATGCATTAGAAAAAGCTCACAAAGGATCCTTACATATTTCCCAACACCTCGCTGAGGTAAATGGTGGAAGAGAAGAAGAAGAAGAAGAAGAAGACACCTTAAACTAACTCACTATAATCCGCCGACTTGTTCAATAACTGCCAACGTTGAAGGCGGCAGAAAAGCTCAGCATTCCACGTTATCAAAGGGACAAATTATTACTACAGGCAGACAGTTGGTAAACCCATGCCGGAGAATGACACATGGACGCCAACAATGTTAATGATGGTTTCCTTTTCAATTTGTTGACGTACTTGTCCAACATCCGCTTCTGACGTCACTTCCCAATGAACCGTCATTGAATACAACAGAAGAGGCAGTGTATGGCTGTCAACTGTGATAGAGAATGTATTTAATTTACGTTCCTAGTTTCATCATGATTCAGAATCAGTGTACAGGTTATTAAACAAGATCATACGTATTTATTTACAGTCAAGCTCCATTTTTCAATCGCTCATTAGGATCAACGAAGCGTTGTTGACATTTGCAAGCAACGAAGGGCATGTGCTGAGATCATAGAGTTGTGACACTAAAAGTATTACAGAAATATGACATTAGTGGGTCCTAAGGTGCCAGATGCCAACTACCCGCCCCAGGTATCCACCGAAGGGATCACCAGCACGGAATGGGAAGACTCCGCGGACAAAAGAGATGATAATGATATTCCCATACCAGCTCTGGTGAAGTTGGTCATCTCGGCTTTGCGTTTTCTACGGAACAGAAAAGGTTCATCAGTGGCCGACATACAGCGCTTTCTTTCATCTGAAGGTTATGTTTTCAGTGCGGGCCAGCTGAGGGCCGCCATCATTCAGGCCATGAAAGAAGGCACCATTCAGCGGCCCCCGAGTGCCGTGGAGAAGGGCGTCTACGGTCTGTACATACTTGTGGAGGGGAAGACTTCACATAAATCTAGGCGACACGCAAGGGGCAACACGAGAAGGTCACGCTCAACAGGTGGTAAATGACAACAGCTGTCTGATATGTTCAGTAAGAAAATTTGTTCGATGTCCCTTGTTTACCTACTTTCACTGACTCACCCCCCCCCCCCCCCGCCCCAGCATATGTTTGCTGTTTTTCAGCTGTATTATGTAATGCAGTACGGCAGTAAATTAAAACACACGCACGCGCGCACACACATGCAGTTTTGGCATCTTTCAAGACGATAGTGTTATACTGGGCTATGAGGAGGCAAAGGTCATGGCAATTTAATAATAAAAAGAACCAGGGGATGCGACCAACGCTCAACACTCAGGGGAAGGATGAGACGGATATACAATCAGACTACTGGTGCCATCGTAATTGGAACTCTTTGCTTGCTGCTGAAGATGGAGACGGAACACTTATGGAAGTGTCCCAGTGCTGTAATGTCGATTCTTAATTCAACATTCAGTCCATATAGTTGGCGAATGTGACCAGCAAGACCCGACCACTTTAGGAAAAATCTTCCACAATTATAATATAGGATTTCAGGTCAGTTATTGTCAATATTTGTGTTAAGTGGGTTTTTTCTCAGACGCTCAGCTCTCATCCTTTTTTGCAAATATTTCGTCCTTTATTCTCATTCCCTTACTGATGTGCCCCCTCCACACAACACGGTCCTTGACATTTTGATCCCACGAGTCCACCTTAATACCCGTATCATTCATGCCCGCTTGCACACATCTTTATATCATAGTAGCTGTCGGCCTCGACATCTTTAACTCTTTATGTCACCATAAATGATGTCTTTTTGCCATCCTCCGTTCTCTGGGTGTGACCCAGCCACCTGCGCCTTCGTAGACTGAGCAATTAAAAGACTGTTGTAAGGGTGTGACCCAGCCACCTACGCCTTCGTAGACTGAGCAATTAAAAGACTGTTGTAAGTAATGCCTGCTCTTTCCAATACCCTGGTGTTTGTGATCTTGCCCTGCCACTCAAAGCCAAGCCTTCTTCTTAGGCATCGATAGGGAAAGCTATTAAGCCATTTCTCATGGTAACCCACATCAAGGGATGATTCTTCTTCAGCATACCGAGCCACTGAGGTTCATTGCTCCAGAGATCACCTGCCCCCATTCTTCCTCTTTCCAGTTGGTGACACCGAGTGTTTGTGGGTCTGTCTGGATATTATCACTCCATCGTCTTCTTGGTCTGTGTTGCGGGCGGTTAGGGAATATACCGCATACTTGTAAAGTTTCTAGGGAGTTTGATTATAAATGCCTGTCCGCCACCCATTCACTGGATTCCCGCATGGCCACCCACTATCATTGGCATGGCACATGTTGATGGTGATTATAATTGGAGTTAAGGGATACAAAAAGACCACTATACGCCACACACTTGTGACAAGCTAACTCATTTCCTTAAGTCACCAGTAACGTTGTCTACGAGTACAGTAACACATTACACCAGGCCACGTATTATGGTTCATAGTGCCTCAGTCTTTATTGTGGACGAATACAAACTAGTATTTTACAGTATCTACTAACGCCCTGAAGAGGATGAAACAGCTGCTACAGTCATAACAAACCAATAAGCCCTTTATGGAGTACTCCGAACACCCTGAGAACCCAGGACTCCTGGTGAACGACCTCTTGAAACGACACCATCGACTGTCTCACCATCCTCCTCAATCACGGACAGATTATAACGATGATGAATATGTGATCGACGACACACTGTCAAGTCTTCTGCTGCCTTCCGAAGTATTCACCTCAGCAGTATTTCCAGACATGGACGAACACCCCAGCGATCTATGTACCAGGTGCGTGCTACGGGCAACGCAAACTCGACCGCGCAAATACACCTTGTGTTGTACAGTGACCACCTCCTGACGGCTGTCCTTCACGGACCCATCTGTCTGAGAGTTTAAGGTAGATGCACCATACGGTGGAAAAAAAAAAGCCACAAAGCAATCCAGACCGCAGTCTGCTACCTAAACACTGAAACATCGCTGACTACCATTCTGTCAGTCAGCCTCCGATACTTTTCCCCAACATCACACTCAACGTTAGTGTCGTTGAGTGAACAGCCAACCCTACACTGTGGACGGGTCGTGACACTGACATTCCTAGCGGACACGTCACATTTCAATGTTAAACTCGTCCGGGAGGGTATATAGTCCTTTGTATTGATATATACCTCTATCTTGTGGAATAAACATTTCTAGACCCTCTAGTTGTTTTGAGAAGTCTACATTTTCAAACTTGCAACTTTGGGATGAATATTTCTTGAGTATAATTCAGAAATTCCTGTAAGCCTTTTTACTCTTTGGGCACGAATACAGGGACTTCTTTCCTAGAGACGCCAAGCTTAGTCTGGGCGGGCATTCTTTTGCCAAACTTCTGAAGTGTCGGAAGACTTTGTAATTCGCTCATCAACTTTGGTGCTTTCAAAGTACCAGTTTAATCCTTGGAGGATTCCTAAGCTTGGGATGAAATCTCCTTAGAGGTCAGGCAGACGAATCACAGTCCAGCCAGCAATCACCAACCCATACCATTCCTATCACCAACCCTACCCAAAACCCTACCTATTGTTGCCACAACTGCAACATGGCAGGAGCTTGTGTGTGAGTTCCAGTGGCTGAGAGACAGTATTGCGGGCCACCTGTGTCATCAATCCAAGGAATCCTTCTTCAGGAGCTTGTGTGTGAGTTTCAGTGGCTGAGATACAGTATTGAGGGCCACCTGTGTCATCAATCCAAGGAATCCTTCGTCAGGAGCTTTGTTGGGCTCCAATGCAGTTCCTTTGTCCTCATATGTGAGACGATCAGTAGTTACCAGATAACAAGAGGAAAAGCTATCTATTGAGTCAGCCGATTCAAGTCACCATGGACTGAGGGGAGCAGAGACCCACCAGTTTGGTTAAGTAAACTTTGAGATGACACTGATGCTCTCTTACATTGCTAACTTTAGTTCACAGTGATGAATTATGTACTTGTTTAAGAACTGACTTTGGCTGTTTCAACATCCTTGCTGTGACGTTAAGTCATGAACTCCTTTCACTGGAAACCATCTTGATTGTCTTGATATTTGTACATATATATGTGTTGAAAGTATTACATTCATTTCGAAATTTTCATGGCTGACTTGGGTGTCCCTGTTTCACTATTCTAACTGTCTAGTTTTATGTTTGTGTGATTAATCAGTGTAATCTGTGTTAACATGGCTATGATAGTATACTATCATAACCTGGGAGCTAGCTTTTTATAGTAGTGGGGGTGTCCAGCCAAGTGTGCCTAGGAATATTAGATATTCTGTAGTGCCAGAGCTTGAGTTGCCCTACTCCTGAAATAAGTTGAGCGTATATTGGCCACGGGATCTCCCTTAGACCAATACGAGCCAACGCCTCAAAATTTTTATTTTAGAGTGCTGTTGGTTCTTAAGGAGAAATCCTTAAATCAGGCACGCGACACGAGCCGTATGTGACAGTTAGTTAACTAACACACACACGCAAGGTTCTCCACACCTTTTGTGCCCTTACAGATCCCCTTGTCAACTACGTGTCCATAGCCGCACATTGCCGACCCCACAAACAGATGGTCTACAAAACAGTCCATTCTGGAAATTACACAGACAGAATTCCTAAGTTTATCTCACGATCCACCAAACCCATTAGACAATTCACAGGAGCTCCGACAGAATAAAAACACCTGGTTAAAAGCACACTGGATTGGAACAAAACATGCTCAAACACGTCCACACACTAAGACTTCTCGAGAGACACTGACAAACTACTAGGGGACATTTCATTTTTGGCGCCTTTAGCAACTGCCATACGCATTTACTTCTTCTTCTTCTTCTTCTTCTCTTCCACCTTGTACCTCATCGAAGTGTCGGGGGGAGATGTAATGTTCGTTGATGAGCTCTTTCAAGAGCACTATTAAGACTGATGTTCATTTCTGTAAGGCTGTTCTTAATGCCATCACTCCATATTTTCCGAGATCTTCCACTCGCTCTATACCCGTTGTAACGTTTTAGTCTGGCTCGCTGTGGTAGATAGTACCAGGGCATTCTTGTCAGGTGTCCTAACCACTTCATTTGTTGTTCTTTGATGACCTGTAAGACTGGCTTTATTCGTAGCATTCGTCTGATTTCCTGATTTCATATTCTGTCTTTTCTTGAAACTCCTGCAGGTCTTCTAAGGCATTTCATCTCTGTTGTCACAATTTTACGTTCATTGGAGGATGTAAGTGTCCACGTTTGGCATTGATAGCATAGTGTTGGCCAAAAAATAGTTCTGATAAGATTCACTTTAGTACTCCGAGGTATCTGCTTGTGTGTCAACAGGGAAAATATTTGACCCAATACTTAATTAGCTTTGGCACATCTGGGCCTAATTTCTCTGTCCAGTTTTCCGTCGGATGTAAAAATTGCTCCCAAATACTTAAATTCCTCTGTTTGTCTCAGGGTGTTGTTTTTCAATTTATTTTCTAAATTGTCTTTATGTCTTCCTATCATCATTGTCTCTGTCTTCGTAGTGTTTATTGTCATATTATATTCCTCCCCTTTGTTACTAATTTGATTTAGGTTGTTCTGTAGGCATTCCGTATTCTCTGCTATGAGTACCTGGTTGTCGGCGATGAGTAATTCTGTAATATCTTCTTCATGATTAAAGTTCGTTTCGCTACATATGGTATCCATGTATGTTATAAAAAGAAGCGGCGATAGTACACAGCCCCGAAGCACACCAGAGTTCACTATAAAAGTTCTTGACAACCCTGCCTTCGATCTTATGCAGCATTTACTACGTGTGTACAGGCTTTTGCAAATATTAATTAGATGATTTACGCATCTACTGCGTGCGCATATTTCTGCATGGTACAGTTTTTCAGACAAGCAGTGAGGGACACTTCGTTCCATTTTCTGTCACGCCTAGTGACATTTCTGTCACGTGTTGTAATAAAATCACTGAACCATGCTTCAGAATAACGCTCCTGATAGTAAGTGACTGTTATAGAAACACTGTGTTCATTATTTAAGTTTATGAT